GAAAGGGGCATGGCAATGTAGTTTCACAAATGTATGCATGCCTCGATCCTCGTGCCACCAATCACGCATCTCGATGCATGATGGCCGAAGAGTCGAATTGCACAACTCAATATGGAATGAATGCACATGAAAACACAACAAAACCTAGACTCCATCATGGATAATTCGGAGTGTCGGCGACTGGGAATTGAGACACGTTCCGTCACTCGGAGTAAGAAACGTACCTCGTTTCTCGTGCTCGGGCTAGCACCTACCCCAAGCATGATGCAATATGCATGATATGCATGAAATGCAACTAAGATATAACCTAACATACACAATGCTATGAAATGGAATACACGATGCACGAGATAACATGGCATACACAATGCGCTAACATACAACCTAGCATACACAATGCTATAAAATGAAATGGCATACTCAATGCACAATGGACTTACACCAACACAAGTGGACCTCAGCCACACTCACATAAGAGGCCATTAGATGAAAATGAGACACTCGAGATGCGTGCACACGTGCACGCAAACCGAGGACCGAACCTAAGGCACAAATGCCACTCTAACAAAGCATGGCAAGGTATGAAACATGATATGAAACATGCAAATTTCAGTATCAAAATATGATGCAAAATAGCCCCGAAACATGGAAACATGGCACCCGATGCATGAAATAAGACTCGAAATGCAAAACTAGGCATACGCAATGACCTATAGCTATACAAAGCATGCATTATTTGATCATGAAGCATGAATACAGATTCAAGGCAGTCCCAAAACAAGCATATTTACAGTTTTAAGAAAGGCCAATAGTGAACACAAATGGGGCTAAGCTAGCATGCAAAAATGGCCCCGAAAGAAAGATAATGAAGCAAGTGGCAGCTGCTGTCCCTAAATAGAGAAGGACCCTTCTACAATGTTGAAGAGGGGCCCAAAATATGGTATTCTAAAGTTGGTGGCCGAGCCAAAAACAGTACACAAGCATGCTCAAAATACTATACAAAATAAGGCCTAAAAAGAGGTCTAAACACAAGGAGGAAAAAGGAAACATCAAACAAAAAAAGACCCTTGATGAAACATGAAGAGGGGGTCAAAATAAGGCTATTTACAGTTTGGACCAAAGTCCAAAAACACAAACACAAGGGGCTAACAAATCATGCAAAAATGAGGCCAAAAGAGAGGGATATAAAGGCAAGTGGCAAATGGAAGCCACAAACAGTAATGATCCCTTCAACAATGTTGAAGAAGGGCTCAAAATAAGCTTCTTTACAGTTTGGACTAGAGCTCAAAACAGTTTACATATAGGCCTAAAATAATAGGGAGAAGAGGACTTACCCTTGAAGACTACTCTTTGACAGCCTTTTGGACCAAAATGCAGCACTCCTAGGCTCTGAAGAACAACCTCAAGCTGCTGGAATGGAGGATGGAAGGGTGGGGGCTATGGGTTGGTGAGGAAATGGTGTAAGAATCAAAGGGTTTTTTTAAGGCTTAGAGTAGAGAGAGAGAGAGATTTAATGTGAGAGCTCCAAACCAAAATTTTCAAACCCCTAAAACACAGCTGGGGGGTCTGTTATATAGACACAAGAGGGTGGAAAAGAGGGGGAAAAATGGGGGGGAAATGAAATTCAAATTTCTCTCCAAAATTGGCCTAAAAGGGAGATAAAGGGGCAAGTGATAGTAGGAGATCTCAAACTGAAGAGAGCCCTTCAACAAAGTTGAATAGGGGTTCAAAATAAGACACTTTGTAGTTTATGACAAGCGACGAAAATAAATACAAGTTGGCCTAAACTATCATGCAAGAAAAGGCCTAAAAGAGGGGTAAAGAAGCAAGTGGCAGTAGGAGATCTCAAACAGCAAAAGGTCCTTAATAAAATATGAAAATGACCTCAAAATATGACTATCTCAAGTTCAGGTCGGAGCCCAAAAATGCAGAATGAAGGTTCGGGAGCCAAAACACGCAGTTCGGGGCCCCGAAAGTGGGCTGTTAGGCACCGGAAGTGGTGTTCGACCACGAAGTCGGTCTCTCGGACCACAGTGTCCCTCGAAAGGAAGGAAATAAGGTATGTGCCAAAAATCGGAGCAAACGGAGGTGGTTAAGCGGTCCCGAACCGAGGCACACGGCCGTCGGCTCCGAAAAATCGGAAACCGAGCTCCAAATGGGAAAAATGGCCTACAACCACGAAACGTAGCCTACGGCCACTGAGAGATGATCTACGAGACCTCTCCCTCCCTTCGGGAAGAGAAAACAGAGAAAATAGGGCCTGGTTCGAAAACCGAGGCAAAGCACAAAAGAGTCCGGAAGTCCGGAGGCAAGGCTCGCAGCTAAGACTCTGAAACTTCAGAACGAGCACAATATGCAACATCACCAAGCGCTCAATCGGTGACGTCTTCATGTTCTTCAGAATAAGGAGGAGGGAATATTAGATATAAAAATAAAATTTAATATATATATATATAATCGCATTTAATTAAAAAAAATTATATATAATCACATTTAATTAAAAAGTGACTTAAAAAATAAATATTATATTACTTAATTAAATTATGTGTGATTAAAATATTAATTTGAGTTTTTCAATCACACTTTCATTAAAAGTATCATGTTTTATTTTCTATAAGTGTGATCTTTAAGTATTTTTATAGTAGTGACTTTTGCCTACTAATATAATTGTTGGTTGCCAATTCCACAACTTTTGGCGACTAAATTTTTTTTAGTCGCCAAATTTGGTTGCCAAAAGTGTAATTTCCTGTTGTGTAGGTTACTTAGAGAGCTAATTAACTTGTGTTTTATTTTGAGAGAGAGGAAAGCAACACTAATAAAAAAAAATAAAAAAAAAAGTTAGTAACTTTTTTTTTCATTTTCGCCCAATATGTCAAAATTTTCCTTCAAAATTAGTGACAAAATAATTTCCTCACTAAAAAGTCTCAAAATATTAAAAATTATTACTGACAAAATTATATTTCTTAAAAAATTCGTCACTAAAATATTTAAAATCAAGTTTTTTTAAAAAAATATATAAAAAATTATTGGGGACAAAAATATATTCTTCACTAATAATTTTATAATTGGTGACAAATTTTTTTCTCACCACAAGTCTCAAAATTTTGGCGCCACCCAAAAAAAATTAGCAAGAAAACCTTCAATGACGAAACTTAATTTTTTCTTATCTATAAAGAAGTATTTGTTGATGAAAATAAATATCATCACCTATTATTTTTACTTTTTTATTATATGTGATAAAATTTTATAAATCATTACGGATTATTCTTATTTAGTGTCGAAATTTGTTTTCTTTACTACTTTTCATCACGATAGGTTATTTTGAGAGCTAATTAACGTGTGTTTTGTTTTGATAGAGAGAGGGAGAAAGGAGACGAAAACTGATAAACAAAAACCAAAAAAAAAAAAAAAAAAAAGAGAAAAAAGATAGTAGTCTATTTTTTTTTATTACCGCCCAATATGTCAAAATTTTCCCTCCAAAATTAGTGACAAAATAATTTCCTCACTAAAACGTCTCAAAATATTAAAAATTATTACTGACAAAAATATATTTCTAACCAAATGGTCTTAAAATATTTAAAATCAAGTTTCTCAAAAAAAAAAAAATATATATATATAAAATTATTGGTGACGAAAATATGTTCTTCACTAATAATTTTATAATTGGTGACAAATTTTTTTCTCATCAAAAGTCTCAAAATTTTGGTGCCACAAAAAAAATTAGCGAGAAAACCTTCGGTGATGAAACTTAATTTTTCCTCACCTAAAAAGAAGTATTTGTTGATAAAAATAAATTTTGTCACCTATTAGTTTCATTTTTTTATTATATGTGACAAAATTTTATAATTCGTCACGAATTATTCTTATTTAGTGACAAAATTTATTTTGTTCATTACTTTTTGTCACCAAAGATTACTTTTGTTGGACCTAAACCCTTTAAGTTTTTGAATGCTTGGCTCTTGCATCCTAACTTTGCTTCATTAGTGGAAACAACTTGGAAGGAATCACAGTGGGTTGGAACTGCTGGTTTTATGTTGCAGAGAAAGTTACATAGTTTGAAGTTGGCATTAAAAAAATGGAATAGATAAGTTTATGGGAATGTTGCACTCAAATTACAAATTTTTGAACATGAACTTAATGGTCTTGATTTGAGAGCTGAATCCAGGCCTCTAGATGAGGGTGAATTGAAGTTGAAAAGAGAGACAATGGATGAAATATGGAGGCTGAGAAGGAAGTTGGAATGGGAATGGCTACAAAAATCTAGACTGGACTGGAATCTGAAAGGTGATAGAAACACAGGATACTTTCATGTAATGGTTAGTAGTAGACAAAATAGAAATATCCTCAATTCCATCACAGTAGGGGCTGCAGTGCTTGAGGAGCCAAATCAAGTAAAGAATGAGGTGTGCACGCATTTTTCAAATCACTTCACAGAAGATTGGAAAATTAGACCTGTGCTTGTTGGGGATTTCAGGAGTATAAGGTCTAGTGATTCATTCCATATGCTTGAAGCTGAGTTTTCTGAAATGGAGATCTAGGCTGCTGTTAGAGAGTGTAATGGGAACAAAGCCCCAGGGCTAGATGGGTTCAACTTGATGTTATTTCAAAAGAATTCGGAGATTATTAAGAAGGAGATGCTCAACTTTATGAAAGAATTCCATACTAGTGGTCGTTTGGTTACATGATTAAACAACGCTTTCATCACCCTTATTCCAAAGAAAGTGAAAGCTATCAACCTTAAGGAGTTTAGGCCCATAAGCCTGGTTGGGTCAGTTTATAAGCTATTCTCCAAAGTCCTTGCTACTAGGCTTAAAAGAGTCATGCCTATGGTAATTGGTGATTCCCAATCAGCTTTTATGGGAGGGAGAAATATACTTGATGGCATTTTGATTGCAAATGAAGTTGTTGATGGATGGACTAGATCCAAGAAAAAAGGGCTTTTGCTTAAATTAGATTTTGAAAAGGCATTTGACTCCATTAACTAGGATTTCCTATTTTCTATGTTAGCAAACTTTGGGTTTGGAACCAAATGGATCTCCTGGATTAAGGAGTGTGTGTCTACTGTAAGGCTCTCAATACTTGTTAATGGTTCACCAACCAAGGAGTTTAGTTCCAAGAAAGGTATTAGGCAAGGTGATCTCCTCTTACCATGTCTATTTATTCTTGTGGCAGAAGCCCTAAACATACTATTGAAGAGAGCTAGAGAGTTGAGACTGCTAAAAGGGGTGATTATTAGGGACAATCAGGTTGTGTTTTCTCATTTACAATTTGCAGACTCCTCTCTATTGTTCTGTCAAGTTGAGGTTTCAGAAGTTCTTTTCTTAAAAAGGGCTCTCAGGTGTTTTGAACTAGCTTCAGGGCTTAAAATCAACTACCACAAGAGTGTACTTTGTAGGATTGACACTTCTGATTCTTCCCTCAGTGAGTTTGCCTCCTTACTAAACTGCAAGACTCAAAAGCTTCCTCTTAATTATCTAGGTTTGCCATTGGGTGCTAGTCCAAGGAGAAAGAAGACATGGAAGCCTATTGTTGATAAACTTAAATTAAGGCTTGCTGGTTGGAAAAAGGAGAATCCTATCATTTGCAGGTAGACTAAGTTTGATCAAAGCAGTCCCATCCAGTCTACCAGCGTATTTCTTGTCTCTGTTCAGGGTACCTGAAGGAATAACAAAGGAGATAGATCAAATTCACGCAACATTCTTATGGAGTGACCCAGATTTGAAAAGAAAAATCCAGAGGTAACTAAGAGTATCAAGAAAGGTGGTCTAGGTATAAGAAGAATTAGAGATATGAATGTCTGCTTGCTTCTCAAATGGTGGTGGAGGTTTGCCACTGAACATGATTTACTATGGAAGAGAGTTTTCTGCAGTAAATATAGATTTCAAGGAGGGGAATGGTTACCTACCCTAAGCCCTGGTATCATTATCTCACGGATTTGGAGTGACATTCTAGCAACAGTTGACTAGACAGAAAATCTTTTATTGTTCTATATATCTAACCTACAATTAAGAGTGGGTAATGGTTGCAGAATGAGATTCTGGCACGATAAATGGTGTGGAGATATTTACCTCAAAGAGGAGTTCCCAAGGTTATTTGGGTTGTCTAATGAGAAAGAGAGCTCTCTTAAGGACCTAGCGGTTAACACAACCGCCTCACAAAACTGGTTACTCAATTTTAGAAGACTCTTATTTGAATGGGAAAATGAGGAACTTCTTAGACTCATTAAAAGCTTGCAAGCAGCTCCTGTTCTAAATCTGGCAGTCAAGGATAGTGTAATGTGGTTAGCTCAAAAATCTAGCCAATCCCTTATATCTGCTTTTTACAAACAAACCAATCTTAATTTTGGTGGTAATGTCAGATATAGTAGTATGGTGTCGATCAAATATCTTCCACCCAAAGTGCAATTCTTTGGATGGCTAACATGGAGAAATAAGGTGAAAACTTCAGTGTTCTTGCATAGGCTGGGAATTCTGGATCGGAGTGCTTTTACCTTATGTATTTTTTGTAAAGCTCATGTTGAAACACCTGAACATCTGCTTATCCTTTACCCCTTGGTGTGGAGAATTTGGCCTGGCCTGTTGTAGTGGTGGGAGGTTATTTGGGTGGTACCTGGATTTGTACAAGGTTTGTTCGACTAGTGGTCAAGGCATTGCTGCAGGTCAATTGAAAGAAGAATTTGGAGTGCCATTCCTCTGGTGGCTCTTTGGTCAATTTGGAGCACGGAAATGAGTGTCTCTTTCAAGGCTCTCAACCAAACATGCAAGAATTGTAGGAGCTCATCATCAAAAGAATTGCTATATGGTATAAAGTTGCAACCAAGGGGACTTCCTTCTCGATCGATGGCTTCCTTCATAACATTTCACAAATCAAATATTGTTTAGGTGGAAGGATCTAGGAGATCTGTTTTCTGGTGCTTTAAAATTTGTTTCCTGTTTTGGTGGAGAGTTGTGAGGTGTTTGTAATTTACAATGTCAACCATTTCTCCTAGTGTGCAGTACCAGCTGTCTATGGTCTGGCTCTGGCTCTTGGTGTTTCTTGTTGTGGTTCTTTCGCTTTGAGTTGGTCTAATCCTGTATCTGCTCTGTTTGCAGCTCTGTGGGTTTGGTGGCTAAGTCTGCTAGTAGTTTGCTTTGTTATTGGTTTCTATTTTTTGTTATGCTGTACTGTGGGCTTTGTATCTGGTCTGATATGCTAGTTGTTGGAGTGTGTTGTTGAGGTGTTTGTTTTGTTTTTTTGATTGGTTCCTCACCAACTTTGGGAGTACTAGCAAATGATAGGATGAGCTCTTTGGTTTAGTCAGGATTATTTAGCCATTGTGATACTTTTACACTTCTCTTTCTTTATTGGTGTTTCTGTTTGGTACCTTGTACACTTTCCATACATCAATAAAGTCTCTTGTTTGTTGTTCAAAAAAAAAAAAAAAAATTAATAATAATAAAAAAATTGTAGGTAGCTTATTCCCCAGATTGAATTTTAATAGGATTCATTAACTAGCAATAGTTTTAGACCACACGATGAGAGAAATATATTTTTTCAACATTTGGAAACTATATTGAACAATGTAAATAAATATGTGGAGATTTCTGCCAACAACCTATGCGATTGTTTCTTTCCAACTTTTAGTGTATTACTTGCAAATTATTGAAATTTTTTTTCTAGTGTCAAACCTAATTGAAATTGATTTGTTTTCCTTTGATACATTTTGCACTCACCTAATCTTGTATTTTTTGTACTTGAATCTTGTTAATAAAGTTTCTTCTTTTTTGTTTTTGTTTTTATGTTTTTTGCTGATAACATAAAATTAAAAAAAAAAAAAAAAAAGAAGCTATGAACGACGATTTTCCAAAATGCCACTACAGTGTTAATGGTCACATTTTTAAATTAGGAAAAAATCTATCACGACATTTTTAAAACGTCACTAAATACTAGATGATGTCATTTTACCGTTATGTACCACATTTAGCGGCATTTAATGTAACGACGTTTTTAAAGCACCACAATACTATACCGACGGCCGCGTCTTCGACGTTTGATACTAAACGTCGCAAAAAGAATAAGAGGTGTTTTTCACACTTATAGCGGCGTTTGTAAAATTTCCAGCAGTGTGTATTGAACAGTGTGCATAATTCCGGCCACATGCAGCCAACACTGACAATAGATAATATATAATAGACCATCTACCTCAAGTATAATTGTTGCTTTGAATCCACACCTTGCAGCCCAAGCCCAGCGTTACATCATGTTACACCACTCTTACGCGCTTTTTATATATGTTATAGATTTTACTTGTTCGCCACTTTATAATGAACAAGTTTGTACAGAAATAATTAAATATAGAATGTATAGATATGAATATTTTTGTCTCATATCTATATATTTTATATTTGATTTTTATTTTTCCGTGCATATAATATAATTATAGTAATCAAAATCTCATTTTGGATTATATAATTTTACGATTCTATGATCGCAGTTGCACCAAATGATTCGAATCATACCAAGATTTTAAATTTAGTAAGATGTTAAAAATAACTACGATTCTAGTCATAAAATTATATAGAATTGTATACAATCCTGATCATACAATTTTTTTTTTATTATATATATATATATATGCATGTATGTGTATATTTATATATAAAAAATTAGAGTCGTATGCAAATTATGACATTTATTATTAGTCATAAATAAGGAGAAAAAATTCATAACTAAATATCACATAAGGTATTCTAAGCAAAATAATGGTTATAACCAACATCACAGTAATCATAACTAACACGATAACAAAGTCATAACTAAGTGATAACTAACACTACAATATGTTATAGGGAGCGGGGTCATTGTCGTGCCCCCTCCCTGCTGTGTTGCTGCTATGTCGTGAAACGACACAGTTTGATTTTTTTTTTTTCTTAAAATTTATGTTTTTTATTTTAGGGTTTAGGATTTAATTTTTAAAATTTAATTGTTTTATTTTAGGGTTTAGGGATAAAATTTATTTTTTTTTTTTTTAGGGTTTAGGGTTTAATTTTTATTTTTGGAGTGTTCTAAATAAGTGTATTTTTTGTCTTTTTGGATTAAAAAATTGAGGAAAAAAAAGATGGATGTATGGGTTAACTTTTTGTGATTTTACGAAAAAATGTGTAATAAAAAATTGTATAAATAAATGTATAGGAGAATTAAGTGTAATAGGCTGTACGGCACTTTTTTCTAGGCAGAGCGTAGGAGATAAGGACATGATTGCTTCCTTCGCGGCCAACTATTTGAACTGTGCTGTTTAACCCTTGGGGCCCACCACGAGTCCCATTTTGATAATCTAAACCGTTCAATATGTAGAACTCGTCGATTTAAAAAATCACATTGATCGAATATCAAAATCACATTGATCGGATTAGTTTTTGTTCACCAGTTAACCATAACACCATCCTTTTTTTTATACAAAACTAATTTGATCATATAATTAGTGATATTCGATCAACGTAATTTTTTACAAGCATATAATACTTAACGAGTTCTACATATTAAACGATTCAAATTATCAAAAGGTGACCTGTGGTGGCCCTCACGGGCCGAACAGCACAATCTAAATGGTTGCCCATGAAGGAGGCAATCATTTCTAGACCAGTACAGTAGACCAATCACGCGGACAACCCATCACTTCAACAAAATGTTGAGTTGTATTTTTTTATATGTAAATTTATTTATTTTTTTTGTATTTTTTTGTGAATAGTGATAACTTTTTAGCTTTTTAAGTAATTTTTTGACTTTTTATCTTTTTCAAGACATGCCAAACCAGAAATAATAGAAATACTAAATCTGAGTTATAAATTTTATTTAATTTTCTGACTAGAACTTTTAAAAATAAAAATAAATAGAACATCAATAAAAATCACGTAAATTTATTTTAATTTTTAGTTAAGATTTTTAAATTTTATTTTACTTTACCATGTATAATTACTACCATAAATGTACCAAATTTGAAATTTTTTTAGCTCCATGATATTACGTCAAATCCAACACTAACCTCCATTCATAGATACACATCATAGCATAGATCCATGGTACATAAAAAAATGAAAAAAAATAATAATAAAAAAATAATGATTTCAAGGCACAGAAAAGACACAGCTTCTAATCAAATATTGCCATCTCATTTGGAATTTCTGGTACAATTGGCACAAGGTAGAAGTAAATGCGAGAGCGTGAAAATCACTGCTGTTTCATTCAAAATCTGTTGGCACAACTGGCTCCCTGAAAGAAACAGACTCAAAACAAAACGAAAAGACAAACACAAAACAAAATGGTGATGCCCGAGGCAACACCCCCTGGAATCACCCGACTCCTATACAACAGGACTGACTCGATACAACAAGATAGACCCAAAACAAAAAAAGAGACTGACTTAAAACAAAAAGACAGACTCAAAACAAAACAACAAGACTGACCCAATACCCAAGTCAGAAAGCACAAAAGCTAGCATTCGCAAATGCTCAAAACAGTGCATGTTATCCACCATATCTGGAGTAAACTGAGCGCTGACCGCAGGTGGTTCATCCCCCCAATCACATCACATTATCCCCCAAGTTCACTGATCAAGTGCCGATAGACTTTGCAGGACTTGGTGCGGGGATGACCCCGTTGTCAATCAGATCTTGCACTTCGTGGTGAAGACGAGAGCAATTGTCAGTAGTATGGCCGGTTTGCTGATGATACGCGCAGTATTGGGTAGCATCATGCGTAGCTGGAAGAGGGTTTGGGAGAGGCCGAGGCTCAAGGGGTTTGAGATACCCTTGCGCAACAAGGATTTGGAGAGCTTTGGACAAAGGCATATAAAGGGCATGGAAGACCCTCCGACCTCGGGGTTGGTACTTCAAAGTTTGTGGATTTTTGCTGGACACACCAGCAAAGGGCTTGATAGGCACTGACTGGGTTTGTTGATCTCTTCTGAGTGGAGGATTAGAGCTAGTAGGATCGTCTCTGGTATGATGACCCTTTTCCCGGCTTGCCCCTTGATTCAAACTGCCCCTAAGTTGAGTAGCGAAAGTGTCATCTACAGTTTTTGCAACAACTGAGAGGACTTGCTCTTTGTTCAGCCCTTCAGCTTTCAAAGCCTCCACAGCCCACTGAAGGTGTTCATGGGGACCAATGCCTGCCCCTACCTTATTCTTACCACCTGCCTCCACTTTGCCAAGGGTTTGGCTTCCTTCAAATGCAGCCAGTCCCAAGATTGGGGAGCATTTTGACATGAACTCCCTGGTAGGCGATGTGGTTGATGATGGCGCCAAAATCCCAAATGCCACTGTTCTTTGAAGATCTTCAATCACGCTCCCCAGCTTAGAAGTAGTGGGTTCACGGGTTTGAGATGATTGGGGTTCAAGTGCATCCATCGTGCTTAAGCCCATGCTTTCCTGGATAAACATCTCGGGTTTGAGTATATGGGTCGGGGTGTATATACTGGGGTTGTAGGTGGGTGGCAGTGTATGGCTGAGGTTGAGATGTGGATGAGGTACTTGGTCCTTGGGGTTTTGAGGTGGAACTATTGTCCGGTTGTCAATGAGATTCTGGATCTCATGACGAAGGCGGTAGCAACCATCGGTGCCATGGCCGCGCTGTTGATGATATACACAGTATTTGCTGGGGTTATGTCTGGCAGGGAGTGGATTTGGCAAAGGTTGAGGATTAAGGGGTTTGAGATGCCCTCTTTCCATCAGAACTTTGAATGCGCTGGTTAG